GTTTAGAACTTCCAGCTCCTAAAGCACAGTGAACAATGTCTTTTCTCAAAGCAGAAATAATGTAAGTGCCTACAGAAAATTCAGAAATTATTCTTGCAACTAGGAATGTCCCTTTGATTGCAATAACCTGAGTCTCTTCATAGATCACTAATGTGCTACATGCTCAGATACAGGAAAAAGTGCTTCCAATAAGAAAAATGAATAAGGGCTTCTTAAAAAAAAAGAAGAGAAAAGAAACACATGATGTTAACTATTTAAAGCACAAAGAGCCCTGGCCGGTTTGGCTCAGCGGTTAGAGCGTCGGCCTGCGGTACAGAGAGACCCGGGTTCGGTTCCCGCTAAGGGCACGTACCTCGGTTGCAGTTTGTCCCCGGCCCTGGTTGGTCGTGCGGGTGGCAGCCACTCGATGTGTCCCTTCACATCGATGTTTCTCTCTCTCTCTCTTCCTCTCTCTCCCTCCCCTGCTCTATCTGAACAAAAAATGGAAAAATGTCCTCGGGTGAGGATAAAAAAATAAAATAAAATAAATAAAGCACAAAGAAACTAAAAACAAGTAAATAAAATATGAATTGCTAATCTTTTATGAAAGAGTTGAAGAGGCCAACCTGAAACTCAAAGGAATTACCTTCTCTTGTTCTGGTTTTGAGTACTTTCAACTCAGTTTCACTTCCCAACACCCAAAGTGTTTCATCTTTAACAATTCTTCTGTCATAAGAAGAATCTCCTCCAAATATATTTTTCAAAGTTGTGATTTCCAATTAAGGACTGGACTGACAAACACCTCGTAAGTGCTTTCTATTTCATGTCCAATGGCTCATGTAAGCATTATACCTAAATAACTTCCCTTTTCATTTCAAAAGCAGTCATGTTAACCTAATATTTCAAATTCCTAGAAAACAAGGAGGTACAGATAGATACACAGTATGTACAAATATGTGTGTGTGTGTGTGCGTGTGTATAGTCACACAATATATAAATCTATAGTTAACCCTTGAACAATGTAGGGGTTAGGGGCACCAATCCCCTGCTCATAAAATCTGCATATAACTTTTGACTTCCAAAAACTTTACTACTAATTGTATACTGGTGACCAGAAGTCTTAATTAACACATATTCTGTATATACATATTCTGTATATTACATTATATACTGTAGTCTTATAATAAAGTAAGCTAGAGAAAAGAAAATGTATTAAGTAAATCATAAAGAGAAAATACATTTACAGGATTTATTTTTATAAATCTGTACAGTTCAAACCTGTGTTCTGGTGTTATTCTAGGGTCAACTGTTGTACACACACACACACACACACACATACATATTTATATCCTCTATATATATATATATATATATATATATATCCTCTTAGCACTATGACAAAAGATGCCTAACTTTTAGTGGGTAGGTACTTTCACTATTCTATTGAGTGTGCCATTATTTGAGTACCAAGGCAATATGACTTATAAACTATAAATTTATAAGCTATCTACTATGAATCTAGTACTAATCATGTATTAACTATAAACAAAGGCTGAAACTTCAGACCTATATCTGTTTTTTAAAATGTATAAAGTCCACGTGATCCTTAAATGCAGACTGGGTCACAGGCATGGAAATTTACCTAGTTTCCAGTCTCCTTGAAAAAAAAATATATGTACAAGTTTCATAAATTAGGGAAATTGCAGATAAAAGAGTAAATAAACTGAAAGTCATCCTTAGGAAAAGTACTTTTAAAGTCCCAAGTAAAAATTATAACTCACACATCAATCTTGGATTTGAGTTATTTACTATAGATATACAACCCAATTTCCCACCTTCCAGAAAGGTCCTTCTAAAACACGAGTTGGGCCCAGCCGGTGTGGTTCAGTGGATTAAGGGTTGTCCCATGGACTGAAAGGTCCTGGTTTCGATTCCTGATCAGGGCATATGACAGGTTTGGGGCTCAATCCCCAATAAGAGGGAATGCAGAAGGCAGCCAATCAATGTTTCTCTCTCACATCAATGTTTCTCCCTTCCTCACTCTCTCAATAAAAACATACTTTAAAAAATAAATAAAAATTTTAAAAAAATAAAACACAAGTTGGCCTTATCATTCTCCAGCCAACAGTTTTAATGGCTTCCCACCATCAGCTGGGTGAAATCCAAGCTCCTTATCATGGCTTATAAGGCCCACCCTGTGGCCTCTGGTTATCTGTCCACGTCTTCCCTCGATACTATTGCTCCCGAGTTCATGTGCTGATTCCTGGCTGGAATACTCTTTATCTTACCACTCTTTTATATGGCTCATTCATCCTTCCAGATTCCTGTCCCCCCTTCGCCAGGAAGCCTCTCTTCTCATTCCTCCCATTTCTCTTCTACCCACCCCCTCTAAGTGACCCTCTTCAGAGCTTCCGCAGATCCTGTGCTTACTGATTTCTGTTTACTTATTCTCACATATATCTGTTTCCTGCACTAGGGCCGTAAGCTCCTTGAGAGCAAACACTATGTCTTCTTGCCTTGGCCAGTTTGACTCAGCAGTTAGAGCACAGACCCTCAGACGGAGAAGTCTCAGGTTCAATCCCTGACCGCAGTCAGGGTCATGCAGGAGCCAACCAACTGATGTCTCTCACATCAAAGTTTCTCTCTCTCTTTCTCACTCACTCCCTCCCTTCCACTCTATCTAAAAAAAAAAAAAAATGGAAAAATATCCTCGGGTAAAAATTAACAAGAAAGGAAGGAAGGAACGAAGGGAGGGAGGGAAGGAGAGAGGGAGGAAGAAAACATTTCTCTTTAGAACCTATGGAGAAAGTATCACAAGTCTGCTTTACTCTATATTCCATATGAAACAGCTTGCCAAATAAACTAGCTCCCAATTGGTACCAATATTGAACTAACAAAGCAGCTCCCAACTTGTAAACCAGACTCCTCTGGTCCGCAAATTTATCATCCACAATCTATTTCCACTATTCAAAGAGCCTAAGAAATTATACATCAATCCAAACTAATGAGGCTACGACTAGCTAATTCAAACATCAGTTCCTTTTTATCAATTAAGGTTGGGGACACTGAGTCTATCATGCTATGCTTAACTGCTGATTAGCATATAAAGATCTTTTATTAAAAATATATTCAAATTAATGATTTTATAACTTCTGCCCAGAATCCCAATAGCAGCCTATGAGTAGCTGAAGTACACATTAAGTGATTTAAGTACTTTTAATTTTTTATTATAAAATATGTGATTATTCTTGAAAATAGGCAAAAGGAGCCCTGGCCAGTTTGGCTCAGCGGTTGGAGCGTCAGCCTGCAGACCAGAGAATCCCAGGTTCGGTTCCCACTAAGGGCATGTACCTCGGTTGCAGTTTGTCCCAGGCCCTGGTTGGAGTCATGTGGGTGGCAGCCAGTCAATGTGTCTCTCTCACATCAATGTTTCTCCCTCTTTCTCTTCCCACCTCTCTCCCTCCCACTCTATCTGAAGATAAATGCAAAAATGTCCTCGGGTGAGGATAAAAATAAATAAATAAATAAATAAATAAATAAATAAATAAATAAATAAGCAAGCAAGCAAGCAAGCAAACGTATAGATTTAAAAATAACTACCCAAACTAAAGCCCATCACGTACTAATTTTAGACTTGCAAAGAAAGGCAGGAAGGAATTTCTCAGTCCTTAAATGTAGCAACAATTACTCAGGCAGAGTTCAGAACCTTTTTCAATGTCACTTTCTCCAACTACATAAAGCTTGGTGGGAACCTAATCTAGAAAGCTTAAACAGATTGTGCTTTTTTGGTTCTTCTTCCTCTAAGCAGCTTCTTCCTCTTTTCTGTAGTTTCATCACCTACATCAAATCACCAGACACTGCATGGACAAAGAACTTTCTTTCGCTTTTCTCTTCATCCTACGCTGCGCTTATATTTTAGGATTTGTTTTCCCAGCTTTTCTGCTCATCTGACTCCCGTCTCCGTATTTCCAAACCTCTTTGGTTAATTTTGTTAAATGAATAAGATGTTCTAGCTCTGGCCGGTTTGGCTCAGCGATTAGAGTGGTGGCCTGTGGTCCAGAGAGACCCAGGTTCAGTTCCCGCTAACAGCATGTACCTCAGTTGCAGTTTGTCCCCGGCCCTGGTTGGGTAGTGTGGGTGGCAGCCACTCAATGTGTCCCTTTCACATCGATATTTCTCTCTCTCTCCATCCCTCCCACTCTATCTGAACAAAAAATGAAAAAATGTCCTCGGGTGAGGATGGGAAAAAAAAAAAAAAAAGATGTTCTAGTCATTTTAAATCCAACATGTCCTAAAGTGAATTTATCTGCCCACCATCTCAAATCATGAAATAAAATTAAATCCTACATCTTTGTTACTCCATCAACAACATCATTTCTAGTCTCAAAGCCTTGAAATCATTTTAACTATTTAAAAATTTTTTTTTCCTTTATTGATTATAGAGAGAAAGGGAGAGGGAGAGATAGAAACATCAATGAAAGAGCACATCGATGAAAGAGCACATCGACTGGCCGCCTCCTGCATGCCCCCACTGGGGATCAGGCCCTCAACCTGGGCATGTGCCCTGACTGGGAACTGAACCAAACCGACTACCTCTTGGTGCATGGATCGATGCTCAACCACTGAGCCACACTGGCTGGGCTAACTTTTTTCTTTCATCAGGATATTTGAAATCTATTTCCTTCCTTTGATAGCTTTCATGACATGATCATCCTTTCCTTTTCATTTCCCTCTGGACTATATTGTATCACTAAAACCTTGGAAAACTTTCAATAGGCCTAGCATATAGACTCCATACTTCCTGTCTATCTCAATCCATCCAGCATAATTTTCATCCTTCCTCTAATGACCAAACATGTTAGTTGGTCTTAGGGTCTTCAAAAACTGTTATTTAACAAACACTTGCTCCTTTGGTCATTTAATAAATAATTATTGTGCGTTCACTAAGCATCACTTAGCTTAATCTGTGGTATCAAAACAATGACCAGGGAGCAGGCCGGTGGTGGCATCTGTCCTCCCCAGCAGACGCAGAGATGCAGATCTTTGTCAAGACCCTGACTGGCAAGACCATCACCCTTGAGGTTGACACCATTGAGAATGTCAAGGCTAAAATCCAAGACAAGGAGGGCATCCTGCCTGACCAACAGTGTCTGATTTTTGCGGGCAAACAGCTAGAGGATGGCCGTACTCTCTCACACTACAATATTCAGAAAGAGTCCACCCTGCACTTGGTGCTTCGTCTGAGGGGTGGCATCACTGAGCCCTCCCTCCGCCAACTCGCCCAGAAGTACAACTGCAACAAGATGATCTGCCGCAAGTGTTATGCCCGCCTGCACCCCCGTGCTGTCAACTGCCGTGAGGAGTGCGGCCACACCAGCAACCTTCGCCCCAAGAAGAAGGTTAAACAAGACTCCTCCACCTCCTCAGGCCCACAGGGCAGTCTTCTGCCTGAACCCTGCGACTGGGACCTCAATAAAGTTTCTGTTTTGTTGACTGGAAAAAAAAAAACAATGACCAATATTACCCTTCACTTTTCTACTTCTCTTTCTCTTTCCTCGAGATTCCATCAGTTCTTTCCTTCTCCACTGAGCATCCTAACCTTACCATTACTAATTGTTCTTTGCCATTCTGTTGAGCCTTCAGCTGAGTAGTAGCTTAGGGGCTTTCATAAATACAGGGTGGGGCAAATAGGTTTACAGTTGTGAGTATGCAAAACAGTTTATCCTTTTTTTTAAGGTAAAAAAAAAAGGTTTTTTAATCCTCACGAGAGGATATGCTTCTATTGATTTTAGAGATAGGAAGGAAGGGGAGAGGGGAGAGAGAGAAACATCGATGTGAGTGAAAAGTCGATTGGTTGCCTCCTGCACGTGCCCTGACCAGGGATGAAACAGAAACCTGGGTATGTGCCCTGACCAGGAATTGAACCTAAGACCTGTTTGTATATGGAATGACCCTCCAACTGAGCCACATCAAGCCAGGGCCAGAGTTTATTCTTATATTGTTATTTATTAATTATTGTATTATTTTCCATAGAAACAACTGTTTAACCCTACTTTTTCCATCTAGTATGATTCTGGAATACAAAAGAAAAATGATTTTTCTCTCCAAATAGTCTGAGAAAAATTAAGAGTAACCAGCAGTATGTTTCTGAAACTTCTGGTCAACTGAAGACTTCTCACAATTGTCCTTATCATGGACGCAAATTTTTACACATCATACCCTATGAACAGACGGACCAAAGCCTTCAAGGGAGGGAAGAAGGGAAGGAGGGAGAGAGAAACATCGATGTGAGAGAGACACATCAACCAGCTGCCTCCTGCACGACCCAGCCAGGGCTGGGGATGAACTGCAACAAGGTATGTGCCCTTGTCCAGAATCAAACCCACAACTCACTGGTCCACGGGCTGACGCTCTAGCCACTGAGCCAAAATAGCCAGGGCGAAAGGGTTGGTATTTTTAAAGTATATATAAACTGCACTCATGATAACCAAATCTCTATTTCAATTTAGTTCCTCCAAGTCAGCGGTTCTCATCCTGTGGGTCGCAACCCCTTTGGCGTCAAATAACCCTTTCATGGGGTCGTCTAAGACATAACAGTAGCAAAATAACAGTTATGAAGTAGCAACAAAAATAATTTTATGGTTGGGGGTCACCACAACATGAGGAACTATATTAAAGGGTTGTGGCATCAGGAAAGTTGAGAACCACTGCTCCAAGTAAAACAATTTACCAGACCTGGCATTCAGGATTTAACACCAATAAAAAAACAATATAGGTGGTCCATCTACGGGTTCTACAGAGATAACTAGAGTACATACATCTTTGAGTCTTAAATCTCATTTAAAAAATTTACTCTTAGCCCTGGCCATTTTTGCTCAGTGGTTAGAGTGTCGGCCCACAAACAAAAGAGTCTCAGGTTGAATTCCAGTCAAGGGCACAGACCTCGGTTGTAGTTCGTCCCAGGCCCTGGTTGTGGTCATGCGGGAGGCAGCCAGTCGATGTGTCTCTCTCACATTGATATTTCTTTCTCTCTCTCTCTCTCCCTCACTCCCTCCCTCTTTATCTGAGGATAAATGGAAAAATGTCCTTGAGGATTTTTTTTTTAATTTACTCTTAGGTAAACTCAAAGAATGTGAAATACCTACTACATCTTTTGACTAAACCAAATTGTTAGATATGAAGACATTGGACCTGCATGTCCCATTACAACCTAAACATAAAAAAACCTTCAAATTCAAGTCTCTGGACCTAAAAATAAGGGCAAAATAACAAATAAAACGCGCTACATGTTTCCTTCTTCTATCTATTCTGCTAACAAAAAGCCATCAATCCTTTTTAAGTCTGACCATGTATTAATATGGATTAAAACATGATTCTTGGAGAACTCAGATGCTGGCCAAGCTCAAAAATAAAAAAGTAGTAACACATGATACACTGCAATAACCTTGAAACCACACTGGAAGCTCATAAAAATAATGAAAATGAAAAATCAAACTGATAGAAAAAAACTATTTTTTATTTCTCAAATTGTTTTCACTAGGAATTCTGATAAATAGTAACAAGTGCTTCCTGTACTGTGTTTACAACATCAAAGAAGTTGAATACATTTCCCTGAACAGAAACCACTAATTTTATTACCTTATAAATTACACCATAAAGTTTAGAAAGCATTTTCTCTTTCATTATCTCAATCATTATCATAATCCTTTGATAATTGGGGAAGTACTATTTCCCCTATTTTTATGGATGAGAAAACTGGAACTCAAGGAAGTTATATGATTTGCCCATGAATGGTGGCTTGTTAAAAGAACATAGGACCCAATCTGAAGGAACTCCTACAGGCCAAAGATGGAACAATTTGAGCAACAAAACAAAGTAACAAAAGTATTGGATTTTAATTCATAGAATAAAATACATAAACATGAGTTCATGGTGATATAAATAAATTAAGAGGAGCCCTGGCCAGTTTGGCTCAGCAGTTAGAGCGTCGGCCTGCGGTCCGGAGAGACCCGGGTTCGGTTCCCGCTAAGGGCACGAACTTCGGTTGCAGTTTGTCCCCGGCCCTGGTTGGTTGTGCGGGTGGCAGCCACTCGATGTGTCCCTTCACATCGATGTTTCTCTCTCTCTCTCTCTCTCTTCCTCTCTCTCCCTCCCACTCTATCTGTACAAAAATGGAAAAATATCCTCGGGTGAGGATTAAAAAAAATAATAATAAATAAATAAATAAAGAGGATAAATAAATGGAAAAGATAACTCTTCCTCACAGCAGAATTACAATTAATAATGTAGAAAGAAACAGAAAGCCCGAATTAAGCAACCACAAACAATAAATTTGAATATAAGATCTACCGAATGGCCAGACCAGTATGGCTCAGTGATTGAGTGTCGACCCATGCACCTAGAGAGGTCGCTGGTTCGATTCCCCGTCAGGTCAGGGAATGCCTGGATTTCGGGCTCGATCCCCAGTACGGGGCATGCAGGAGGCAGCAGATCAATGTTTCTCTCTCACTGATGTTTCTATCTACCTCCTCCCTCTCCCTCTAAAAACCAATAAAAACATTAAACAAATTTTTTTTAATTTAAAAAGATCTACCAATTATTAAAATTAGTGGGTCAAAAATTGAGGAGAAACATTTGTAGTCTCCCTCAAGATACTTATCAACTATAAAGGGAAAGATAGCAACTCTACCATAAAAAGACTTATAGACACCAACTAAACCAAGGAATCAAGGTAATCCACCACCATATCAACACTATGCACCCATATCAACACCATAATGTGATGCACTAAGGAATTCATTTGGGTATTCTTAGCATCAGAAAATATCAAATAAGCCCAAACTGAGGGACATTCTATAAAATAATGAATTCATCATCTTCAAAGGCATAGAGGTCAAGAAGAATAAGGACTGAGGAACAATTATAAACTAAATGAGACTAAGGACAAATAACTAAATGCAATGTGGAAGCCTGGAACAGAAATAGGAGTGGAAAAGTTGGTAAAAATCTTAATAATAGGTCTGCAGTAGCTGATAATATTGTATCTATGTTAATTTCATGTTCTTGATAATTGTACTATGATTATGGAACACTTAATATTAGTGGAAAGATGTGAGGAGTAAAAGGAAACTCTTCCTACTATTTGGGCAAGTTATTTGTAAGTCTAAAATTAGTTCAAATGAAGGTGGTTGTTTTTTTAAAGGTGGCTGACAAATACTTTGCTCCTATGTAGTTCACACACTAATGCCAAAGACCTTTATAACTATAAAATCAAACATAAATTGTTTGACCAAGGGTTTAAAATGCTTCATAAAGCATTTTAGTAGAAATAGCATAAAAATTCCTAATTTTTTAAGCTATATAATGGTTACTAATTAGAGTGACCATATACCATCCAAACCAGGACTGTAACAGAATAAAACCTATGGCCACACTAGTAGTAGGCCAAAGTGGTCAATGTTATTCAAGACCTAAAATCAGTTTGAATTGAAATAAACTTGATGTTTAGACAAGTCACTTCACCTCCCTCAGCCTTGGGAACAAACATCCCTGGGCGAGGAGGCCAGAGAAAGTGACCAGGAAATCCCCTAAGCAGGCTATGTAAAGGGGAAATAAGCTAATGCATATTTAAAATTTTTTTTCTTTATTGATTTTTTTTAGAGAGAGGAAGGAAGAGGGAGAGCCAGAAACATCAATGAGAGAGAATATTGATTGGCCACCTCTTGCATGCCCCCCACTGGGGATATGGCCCACAACCTGGGAATGCGCCGTGACCAGGAATCAAACCAGTGACCTCTTGGTGCATGGGTCGATGCTCAACCACTGACCCACACAGTCAGGCGCTAATACACATTTATATGATTGAATTTATTATGAATTTTTAAAGTTCAAGAATAAAATCAGACTTAACTAACATGTACCACATTCAAGTACACTCACCCAGTCACAATATAAAAGCTAATAAGCTGCCCTGACAGGTTTGGCTCACTGGCTAGAGTGTTGGCCTGGGCACTGAAGGGTCTCAGGTTCGATTCCAGTCAAGGACTAATACTTGGTTTGCAGGTTCAATACCCAGCCCTGGTCGGAGCGCGTGCAGGGAGGCAACCAATCAATGTGTCTCTCTCACATGGGTGTTTCTCTCTGTCCCTCTCTCTCTCTCCACCCCCCCTTCCCTCTCTCCAAAAATCAATGGAAAAAATATCCTCAGGTGAGGATTAACAAAAAATAAAATAAAAAAGGTAATAAGCTAAGGTCAAGTTCTCTGCTGTCTGCTTTTGAAAGCTGTTACCTTAGGAGGTTGGACTGGTTCCAAATTCTAATATTTCTGAAAAAGATCAAGAATGTAATATTGAGAGTATCAATTGAATATGATATAATAGCCTCAAAGATTCAACAATATTAATCAGTCGCTTGATGTCATTAAAATTCTACCAAAGGTCCTACTTTCTTTGCATATTTAGTAAGAGCTAAACTAAAGATATACATAATTTATAAAACAAAAACAGATATAATCTTTAAAAATCAGCAACCACATTCCCCAACTGTAATATTTCAAGTCATTTGAAGAGATTTTTTTCATATGTGGAAAATCCTCATCCAAAGCAAACAAATTCTGTTTTTTAATTATACCTGAAAGGTTATAAAAAGACTT